AGGTGGAGCAAACGGAACCACCCCCCCACGCACTCCAAGGAGCTGGTGGCTTGTAGTGGACTTCACTCATCCTGGTGCTCCGTTCCAGGCGCTGGGCTTACAGATATGCACGAAGAGCCCCAGCATATCCATGCTGGGCAGGGAGGTGGCAACGTTTAAAGCTCCAAGGGTCTTTCTGTCCGGCTCCCCCTGTGCCTGTGTTTCTCTCCCAGGGGCAAACGTCCAAACTTCTTGTGTGGGGCAGGGATGCTAAAAGAAAGGCCTGGCTCAGACTGCACCTGCCACCTACTCTGGAAAGTCCTGCAGTTATCTGCCCTGCATCTCTTCCTAATGCAGCACATATTCCCCACACTCTTTTTCACTCGTGCCATCCAAGGCCAAATGGCCTAGCGAACATCAGGCAGGCCGCGAGCGCCTGGCCCTTTAAGACTACCTCCCCCCCCCACGTGCCGTCTGGTTGGGCTGGCGACGCTGACGCACGCGTGACGTCAATGGCAGCTGGTGGAGTCTGGGCACGAGGAGCGAAGTTGGGATGGGGGTGGGGGGTGGGGACAGGAGAGAAGGCGGTTCATTTGCATTTAAAGGGCCCACTCCCGGGGTAGGGAATGCGGGCTGGGAAGAAATGTGTACTCCAAGTCTGGCAAAGTTTCCGTCCCATGCTCCGCGGCGAGGAAAAGGCTTTGGCGCAGCCCGAGTCGGTGGTGACTCAAGTTTGCGATGGGGTTCATGTCCTTCCGCGGAAAGGGGGAAATAGTCCGTGGGTGCCCGGGTAGGGAGCACGTGACCAGTAGGGGGCGGGTGGGGGGGCAAGAGCACATGAGGGAGGAGCTGGGGAGGCGACAGTCAGGCTGCGTTTCAACTGCCCCCACCCCCACATCCTGCCCACCCTCCTGCAGCTGCTACCACATCCTGCCCAGCCGGGGGCAGAGAGCTCCTGTAGGAGGGGATGCACTGACCGAGGACCCAGCCTTGGCACCGTCACCCTGCCCCCTTTGACTCGAGGGGTGGGACTTCTACCCTTTGCCCCAGGCCTGGGCAGTCTAGCTCTGCATCGCTCAGTCCAGCTCAGTCACCGCTTGTCGTCCAGCTGCGGGCACCTTTCTCTACCTTGCTCTGCCCAGCAGCTCTCTCAAGCTCTGTACTGGAACTGGAATGGGGTCCCTGGGTTAGCGCAGCTCCAGATGGACAAGTGGACAAGTAGAGATGTTCAGTCAAGTTTTTGTAACCGCAGCTCCTGTACACAGCCATACCCGCGCAGGTGCGCGCGCGTGCAAGCACACACATGCTTAGGTAACAGCCTGGCTGCGCTCATTCCAGGCTGCGCCATGTGAAGCCCTAAAGAAGCAGAATTGAGTTCTCTGCTCGCTGGCCCTAAGGAGCACGGTTTGCTTAAGGAGAGTTAACTAAAAACCCGAGAAATATAAGCACAGTCTTTTGATCTGACGAGGCAGACCCAGAGTGAGGTCCATGCTAGGATACACGCACAGAGCAACCATAAGCCTGCTGCTGGCCCTTCCCCTACGGCCAAATGGCACACGGGGAAGAGATGGAAGGGTGGGGTGTTCTTGCCTGAATCTCCCAAAAACTGGAACCAGAAAACAGGTGGGGGCTGGAGATGGTCCACGAAACTGCAGCCAGGTGAGAGAGAGCTAACCAAGTGGGAAGGACAGATTAGAAGCTGGACCAGCAGTGGGGGCCTTCCCCCTAGCCTGGGAACAAGAGGAAGGGAAAAAAACAAAACAAAAACAGCCCTTGGGGGATAAGGTTGCAGAAGACATATTCAACTTAAGTTGGACAAGGGGTGTTTGGGAGAGGTGAAGAAAAGGAATGGTTGGATTCTGTTTTTGTGTACATCTGGTGGGTACCTCAGTGTATGACTCTAAGGAATATTCGTAGCAGTCTGGGCTGTTAGGAGACTTTTGTTATTGCTACTGCTGTTGTTGTGCTTAAGATTTATTTGTTTATTTGAAAGTTACAAATAGCTGCAACAGCTAGGGCGGGACTGGGCAGGAAACCAGGAGCTAGCTGGGACCTTCCTCCTGGTTTCCACGTGGGTGCAGCAACCCAAACACTTGGGCCGTCTTCTGCTGCTTTCCCAGGTGCATTAGCAGGGAGCTGCATCGGAAGTGGAGCAGCTAGAAATACCTGCTACCTTGCAGGTGGCGTCTAACCCACTAAATCTGAACAGCGGTCCCCGGGTGGGGCTTCTTTAGGGACAGTGGAATAGGTAGCCAGGGAAGGAGCAGAAGGGGGGGGGGGGGGAAGCGAGATAGACGACTGGGTCCACTTGGGAATTTTCTACCCAGAAGATTCTGTCCAGAGACTGGAGGAAAAAGGTTTAATGAGTCACTTTCAGGAGTTCTTATTTCTAACTTCCAGGAACATCACTCCATCGGCCCTATCTTTGTCCTTGAAAATCAAGGTCTCCTGTTTGTTCCTTTCCCTTCAGGTTTTTCCACATTCTAAATTCTAGCCCACCTGCTTCTCCTGCTGTTTCGTCTAGGGACTTCATAACTCAGCATCTCAGGGACCCTTGCATCTCCGCCTCTCCTCCGGCTCCTGGCCCTTTAACACCCTCCCCAGGTGACTCACCTTCCTTCCTCATTCCTTTGTTAAGGACCCAACATTCCAAGACTGGAGGAGTCGCCAGCCAATCGTAGCCCTGGCAGGGCTGTCCCAGGCTTGCGATTGGCTGGAGCTGTGGTTGGCGGGAGGCTCAGCACGCGGATCCCCGGAGGTTGGGGAGGGGGTTTCTGAGCTTCCGCCCTGGGGTGGGAGGGGGAGGATTTACTCTTGGGGCTGCGTAGTTTTTGGAGACTCCTTCCCCTAGCGTCGTTCTCCGAGGGGTCTCTGGCTTGAGGAGCCTCGAAACTGGAGGCGGTCTGGTGGAGGAGTGGAGGGGGCTTGGCTGCTCCCTTTCCCCCTACCACCCTCATCCCTGCTGAGGTCTGGGGCTGGGTGGGTTTTAAAGCTGAGTTCCCAAGGCCTGTTTCTGCGAAGTCTTTTCCAGCAGCCCTGATCACTCCAGTCTCAACATTCTGCTTTCCCGACGTCGGAAACAGCCGGAAAATAAACACCCTGATGACTAAACGGTTTCTCCAGCTAGAGCCTGGGGAAGCACTAAAAATAGAGGCCACAAGTGAGGTTCCCCACTTGAAGGGGGGGCACTTTCCCATCCCGCTCCCGCCACAGCCTCAAGCCTGACACAGGCTCCGTTCTTCTCCAAGTCCTGGGAGGAGGGCAAAGAGGAGGGAAGACGGGCAGATGGATTCCCGCCTACCCTCAAATTTTGGGGGCAAAGCCGGCCCCTGCCTGTCATCTTCTGGGGTGTGTGTGTGTGTGTGTGTGTGTGTAGGGGAGGGGAGAGTGACTCCCAGATGCCACAGGAATACAGATGCCGCATCTGGGGACACAGTGGGTCACTGATAAATCGCGAATCCTGAAGGTGAGGCCTGTGAGAAGGCTTGAACCCAAAGAGGTAGGAGCCTGCCGCCTATCTGTCTTCGGACCTACAAGATGAGCCTCCAACCTATTTGCAGACTAATTCCGCACCCCCCCCCCCAACTTTCCCTTGGAGGCTTACAGGGGTGGACCCAAAGGAGTCCTTCCAAATCAGCCCTTAGTTATTAGAATGCAGCACGAGGCACTCAAGCAAGCCATCTACTTAGATGAACTAATTGGATCTTCACACCAAATTTGAGTTAGGGACTATGATCACCAGCTCCATGTCACCCCTGAGAGTCGTGAGGTACAGGAAGTTGGCTAGAGGATGCGCCTGTGTGCACAGGTAACAAATGGCAGGGCACGGATTGGAATCAAGGCTGTCGGCTTCCAGCCCTCCCACCAACAACGCTCGCCTCTCCCCTGTATAGACCTGTCCGTCCCTTCAGTACTAATCCAGAATCGGGTCTTTGTCCACCAAATCAGACCCAGCCAGATAGAAATCAGGGTGTGTGGAAGAACTGAGTCCCTTTCTGTTCAGAGATCTAAGCCAGATTCGATCATTTCCTCCAGCTCCAGGTGGACTGCGGGACTTTGAAAGTCCTCAGCCGGCTGGGGAGGAAAGAGCCTGATTAGGGGTCAGCTGTCCAGCGGGCATGACACCCCCACTCTTTCCGAGGACACCTCAAAAAATCACCACTCCCTGAGACCAATAAGAATTTTTCCTTTAAGAGCTGCTGCTACCGCTTTAATGTTTTTGAGTATTTCCTGTGTGTGTGTGTGGGGGGGGTAGGGTGCCGCCCCTTTAAATTGCCCCCTCGGCAGTGAGCACTCCGGGAGCCGGCAGGCACGGGCGATTAGGTCACCCAAGAACTATGAGCTGTCGCTTTAAATTGCAGGGCGTCAGCCGAGCCCGGCCCGGGAGGGGAGGGGGCTGTCACAGGTAGAGGGAGCAACTGAGCTCCCCAGGTAACCCCCCCGAGGAGAGGACGTGGGCCTGCAAGGGGGGCTTTGTCACACACAGCACGCCGGGGAGCCGCCGTCTTCTCACCTTGACTGTCGTCCCTCCATTTCTCTCCCTAGACTCCCACCTCCCAACTCTCCGGGGGCTTGAGGGGCTGGGGAGCAGCCGAGGCGGCGTGTGAGCCGGGCCGCGAGCGGGCCGCCCGTGGGGGAGCCTTCCACGAGCGCGGCGCGGTGGCTGCGGGGCCAGGCTGCCGTCCGACCCCGTGAGCTCCGAGGAGCCTCCGTGGGGCGCGGGCCGGTTCCTTTAAAGGCCTCCCTAATTTGCCTCGCTGGGTCCCTCGCTCCCGGCCGGCAGGCGGAGGGATCGGCCGCTCCCGGCGCTGCAGCCTAGCTTGGCAGGGCGGTGGGGTGGGGGCAGACCCGGCCGGGCCGGCCCGAGGGAAGCTAGGGGCGGGGCCGCGCCTCGGACCCCGCCCCCCGCCGCGGCCCCGCCCCTCCGCCCCCATGGGTCCCTCCCATTGGCCCCCCCGCCTGTCCATCACCCCCGTCCTCTCCCCTACCCCTCCACCCCTCAAGCTAGGCTGAGCTGTGCCTACGTCGGCCTCGACTCCCGGGGGCTGGAGGAGTTACCTTTGGAGCCCGAAAGGAGGAAGGAAGCAAAATATCAACAACAGCCGAGGCGGCTCGGGCACTCGGCCCCGGTCTCTTCGCTTGCCTGCCGCCTGCCTGCCCGCCCCCGCGCCCACGAGACGGGGGCCCAGGCCCCCCGGCGCCGCCCAGGGCCCCGCGCGGACGCCGGCCTCATTTATTATTCCCCTCCCCGCCCGGAGCTGCGGCTTCCCGGCACTGAAGCTTTCCCCAGGACGAGGGGCGAAGACTGCCCGCTCCCTGCCCCGTGACACCCCTTTTCCAACCTCAGCGGGGCTTGGTGAGTAGAGAAAAATACTGCGCTTGCCACTTTAAGAGCCCCCCTCCCCCACCCCGGGCTGGGTTGGGGTGGGGGTGGTCCGGAGCGTCCTCCCCGAGGGGTGGGATGCGGTCGCCCCCCTCGGGCGGGGAGAAACTCGCGTGGCGGGCGGTGGGTGCTGTGGCGTGGCGGCGCTGGGGGGAGCGCGCCGGAGACTGTTTGTTTGTGTTAGGAGTCGGCTGTGGGGGGCATGTGGAGTAGGCTCTAATTCCCTGGGGTGTTGGAGGTATGTGGTGGGGACGGGGCGGATGGGTGGGGTGGGGGGCGCAGCGCCGGCCTCTAGGCGTCCCGGGGTCGGGGCGCGGGGAGGGGGCAGAGGTGTGAACACGGCCTCCGAGGGAGCTAGGAAGGGGCACCGTCCTCTGAGAGGGGTCCCCGGTGACAGCCGGGAGCGACTGACATTTTAACAGCCGGCCCTCCCTCCCTCCTCATGCCGCCTGTTCCCTCCTCCTTGGCCCGAAATGGTGCAGAAAGGGGGCCTGGGAGGGCGGCGGGCAGGCGGGCGGGTGGGGGCGGGGGAGCCGCAGCTGTTTGGGAAGCAGGGGGGTGGGGAGGGAGGGAGATGTTGTTGAGATGACACGGGGGGGGGGGGGTCGGGGTGTGGGAGTGTGTGTCTCTGGGGCGTGCTCGCCGGGTGCCTGGTGTGAAGTTGGGACACTGAGCAGTCATGGAGGCAGGCGCGCAGGGACCCTCCTCAGCCAGCTTCCTGAGGACCCCCCCCCATCTGACTTGTCAGCAGCTTTCTCCCCCTCTTGCCCCCCACTGGAGAACCCCCTGGCCAGAAGTTTGCAGCTGTTCAACATCTGGGCAGGAGTTCTCCAGCCCCCTTTCCAGTATGGCAGGCTGAGCTAGGCTAGGAGTGGTGGGTGCTGGTGGTGCTGGTGGTGCTGGTGGTGGGGAGGGTCTGTCTAGAGAGTGTGGTGGGGGCTTCAGGGGAGTGAACAGGCCAATCAGGGGTGTATGATCTCCCCGTTCTGCACCCCTCCCCCGGGTCAGCCCCCTTCCTGTTGGTTGTAGGTCTTTTAGGGCAAGGGGCTGGTTGCTGAGCCCTCCGCAGCTCTCCCAGGACACAGCTGGGGGCCCGCCTGGGTTATCACAGGTTTGTCCTTCTGTGTGTGTGCGCGGGGGGGGAGGGGGGGACTGTGTTCCTCCCCATACACCTAGCACATGGTGGATGGGTTGGGGGAGGGTACCGAGGGCAGATCCTGCACACCCCTTTCTTGAGCCAGGCGGCCATGTGAGTGTTCCTCAGTGGCCCGGCAGCTTTGGTGAGGGGTCGGATGTGGGGCAGGGGGTGGGAAGCTCCTAGCCTGGTTTATTCAAGCTCTCGGTGGGTCTTCGCAGCAATTCAAGGGCCAGCCTAGGCTATGGGAAGTTGGCCGTCTGGGGCTGTGACCTTGGGCTGCTCCGGCCTGAAGATTAGGAGGGCAGTGAGACCAGACGGAGATCCTGGGGTTGGGGAGCTGTCCACCTCCCACTCCCCTCGACTGCAGCAATGAGGGTCCCAGTGATCGAGGGATGCAGGGGGGAGAAGGCACAGGGTCGAATTCACAGATGGTCTGCCCTGGGTCACACCCGCCCCAGGACTCAACTTGGCTGTCCCAGCTCCCACGGACTGCCTGGGAATGAATTTCCTTCCTGTGGTTTCCCAGTGTGTTGGGCAGGAGGTGGGGGTGGGGTGTGATCAGTGTGGGATTGGCTGAGGACCTGTTAGAGGGGGTTCTTGGAGAAGAGGGACACTGGAGCTTGTATGGGGCGCCTGCCCCTCTTGTCCCACACAGGCGTCTAGACCCTTGAGCCTTCATGGTAAGGTTCTCTTTGCTGTTAACTCCCCTGCCCCCGCAACACATCCCCCCATGTGTTTTCATAGGTGTGTGTATGCATGTGTGCCTGCGTGTGGAAGGGAAGGGCTTTCTGGCAAAGGGAGGAACTTTAGTTTACATGCTGTATAGACCAGAGAGGTTGGGCTTTTTACCTGAGGTCACACAGCAAACGGGTTGTCCTCGCTTCCATCCCTCAGCTCTTTCATGTACAACTTCACAGCAGGCAGAGATTTGAGGGCTGGTCCGAGGGGAGTCTTGTAGGGCTGGTCCAAGGGGAGAAGCAGGACGTAGCCAGAGAACATCATAACCTTTATGTTGGGGGATGGGCATGGGGCTTGGGCTACTGCTGCTGAGTGCTGTCTCAGGGGTGTGCCACAGAGAGAGAGGCAGGCAGGTGGCGCTTGTGTACAGCCCACCCTGGACCTTGTGCCCCTAGGCTGGAGGAGCTGGCCTTCCCAGCTCTGCCTCTAGTCGCTTCTGGCTGTTCTCCTAGGCTGGGAGATATGATAGTCTTCTAGTTGCTGTTATATAATCTCTCTCCGGCAGGGCTTTTTTTTTTTTTTTTTTAAGTCTCCCTCTAGGTCTTTCCTGGGATGTGTGATGAGGAGGGGAGGGCCGAGGGAACCATCACAGCTGGGGGGCTTGAGGAGCAGTACAAGGGCAGGAGAATGCATCCCAGACCCTGAGGGAGGCGGGATGGAGGCTGTGAGGTGCAACTCCCAGTGGTGGGGGCTCAGCCCTGGGAAGGCACCTGTGCTGTGTGTGTGTGTCACAGAAGGTGTCCCTGGCCCTTCTGTCCCCAGGGAGACTTGGAGCACTGCGCCTCCGTCAGCCTCCTCTCAGCCTGCTGGGCCTCACTAGTTGGGACAGAATCTCGAATCTTGGTGCTTACCCTGGGTGCTTCCCCACCCACCTGCGTCCCTCCCTGGGGAAGTGGGGAGTCCTGGGGCCATGGGTTTGGTCCCTCATTTCCCAGCTCCTCTGTCTGTCTTGTCTGGAGAGGAATTGGCCAGGTACAGGTCACATAGGTCTTGACCACTTGCATGCAGTCATGCTTGTAAGTAGGCATGGCACTCAAATGGGGGCATCCAGCCCATCCTTATGAGTCGCGTCCTGGGGATCCTCCCCTCCCTTGGGACCATGGTTGACCATCCGTTCAGGCTCTGTGAGGCTAACAGGTTTGAGATAATCATGTACCTTTTTACGGGGAAGCAGGAGCTCGTGGTGGGGCTGGCGTAGCCTTAGCATCCCTGTAATCGCTAGTGGCTTTTATGAGCCAGTCATGGGGCCAGAGTCCAGCCAACCCTCTGTCCTTCTGTCCCAGTTTGGTGACTTACTCATGGTGGGGGGAGTGGCAGAGGAGAGGGAGCTGTTAGGTGCTTGGAGCCCTGTTGTAGAAGCTGGATGTCTGGCTGTGTTGTGGTTGATGTCACCCTGTCTTGTCCATGTTTACAGCAGGCAGGAAGAAGGGTAGACTTCAGGAAGGACTTCCCACAGGAGCTAGGCTGGGGAGAGGTGGCTCTAACTTAGCCCTGGTAAAGAAGGGACACTCAGATCACTTTTCTGCAGCAGCTCAGCTGGAAGGCCTTGACCTTTGGCCTGGCAGGGTTAGTGCTGCCTGCCTCCTGGAATATTTGTTTTTTCTTTCCCCTTGCCTGTGGTTGGAAGTCTTCTGAGGAGGGTGTGTCCTGGAGCTGTGGGAGGGCTGGTCCTTGGGGCCCTTGCCCCCAGCAGAGGAGCTTAGGTGCCCAGAGGAACCCTGGCAAGTGTACAGCATTCAGTGGCACATATGCATGAAGGTTTGTGGCGTGTGTGTGTGTGTGTGTGTGTGTGTGTGTGTGTGTGTGTGTAGAGACACCCACAGAGCAGCTGCTGCCCTGCAGGGGGTGGGGATAGTGACTGGCAAAGGTGATTAAAGGATTGGAGAGAGGGGATGGGGCGAGGCCTTGGAAGCAAGTCTGTGAAAGGCGTAGCCAAGAACTCTGAAGGATGAAGCGTTGAGGTTAGACCACAGATGGGCAGACAGAGCCCCGTCTGCAAAGTGAGGAGCATGGCTGAGAGGCAAGGCGCTCTGGCCGCTGTCCATGCCTGCCCTGTCGTCCTCCCCCAGCCTGCCCTCGCTGTGGCCCTCACAGTGACTGAGTGTCCTGGATAAGTCACGCCTCCTGGTGTGTCTGTGTGACACCTTCCCCAATAGTCAGTCAAGGCTGCCCTCAGGGACGGGTCCTTGGCCTAGGTGATCCCCGAGGTCCAGGCCACCATCTCCCTGTGCCGGGAGTCATGTTTTGGCCATCCTGGCAGGTCGGGAGCCTCTGCTTGTGCCTGCTGTCTGATCTCTCCCCTTTCTGGTGTGGGCTGGGAGGGGAAGGACTTGTCCGAAGCTGTGGCCTGTCACTGGCCACACCCAGGCGGGACCGTATTTACTCATTTAAACTTACCCTCCCAGGAGGCTCTGGGCCTGGTCATTGACCTTGGCCTTGTGCCCCTGGCTAGTGCTCTGGCCACTCCCCTGGAGTTGGGCAGCAGCGAAAGCAGAGAGAGAAGGAGCCTTTTTGCCCCCTGGCCAAGGGAACTGTACTCTGCCTGTCTCTGCTCCTACTCACCTAGTTGTCCAGAAACTAGACCTTTTGAGGTCCCAGGGGGCCAGGGGAAGCACGCTGCCGTTTCTTGTCCCCATGTGCCCTGAGCCTGAGCCTGAGCCACTGAGCACATGAACTTGGGGGGAGGAGTCCTGTCTGTGTCCCCAGCTGTTATTTCTCATTGGGGAAACTGAGTTTCTCTGAGATGGATGATTTTGGGGCTTGTCTGGTTACAAAGTGTTGAGGAAAAAGGGATCCTGCCCAAAGGAGGGGCGGTGGGAGGCAAGAGAAGGCCTAGCTGGATTGCCGGGGAGAGGAGCAGGGCACAGAGATTTGGCGCCAGGTGGAGGGGAATGAGAAGTTGCTGCCTTCTGTTTGAAGTGCCAGGGGAGAAAAATTCCCAAAGCCAGAGTGTGAGAGCAGGAAGCAGAGGCACTTGGAGAGACCCCCATCCAGGCCCCCGTCCCATCGTGGGCTGGGGAACGGACATGGAGAGCTGGGCTTCTCTAATGGAGCCTCCAGTGGCCCAGCCTTACTTCTGCCACTGGGTTCTGGTAGC